CAAGTATTTCAGATATTCAGACATTTCACATAACGGGTAGCAGGTAGTGGAACACTCACCGGTGTCAGTACAGATACCTCAAAAGGTTTTGCCCAAAAGAGAGCTTTTATCACCAAGAAACCCTAAAATAATCAAAGTAAAACAATTGAAGGTTCCACTTTCAAAAATCGAGTATACAGAATGCACATGTGAGGCTCGACTACCAGTCGTATGCCTCGCCAAATAATTACTAATGCAAGGGTGCAAAACATGATTTTTGGAAACGAAAAGTTAACATGAAGACCTAGGCTCAAACAACCCAAAAGCCCTTCATTTCTACCAAAAGGCAATTCAAACTTAAAGGAACCAAACGGCCTAGAAAATTGGACAGCATTTCACCTAAATTTGCTTACTTTTCCAGCCGTCATGGCTTCATTATTTCCTCAAATCAGTCCCAACATCTCATACAAAAATAATCTCATTTCCAAAAGCCGTTCACTTTTTCCAGCCATCATGGCTTCATTATTTCCTCGAATCAGTCCCAACATCTCACACAAAATTCACCTCATTTCCAAAAGCCATTCACTAGGCCCAAAGTAAAAGTTAACTAGGAAATGACCGGAATAAAAGTAAGCCTTAAAACACACAAACAAGTACAATGAGACTCGATAACGCGTCATAAAGCCATGCCAACCACAACCCCAATAGGGTTTCATATGCATCTACAGACATATAAGCAAACCAGAAAATCAGGAAATGGAACTCATTTGTCCCAACACCAAAAACAGTTTTGGCCTCCTAATGCGGTAATGGCACTAAATGCACTACGTTTATCGGATGGGGGTGTAAGACCCACCGTCTCGAAGCTAAAAGACAGAGCTACAACAATGTAGAAGGCCTCTCAGTCCCAATCCTAGCACAACTAGGTCAAAAATGCAGAAAACCCAGCCAGAACCGCAATTGCAGGTTCCCAAATCACACAAAACTGTAATACGTCTATCTCATCCTACACAGGTCCAATTGCATTGATTCCAAAGGCACATGAAAGCTACGACATCAAGATACATTTCATCAGAAGACACCAACAACCAAATCCAAACCAATTCCAGTCAAAACAGACAATTACTATCGCAGTTCGCACATTCTGTTCACCAAAAACAGCAACAGTAAAAACGGCATAACTCACTTTATACTACTCCAAATACCCTGAAATTTTGCAGGCACTACAAACTCATCAATACCTACAACTTTCATGTTTTGAGCAAAGTCCAATTCGGCCTCTATCTATGACCTAAAATTTCGGACAGATTAGGGGTTCATGAACCCTAACTTTTCACATTTCATTCCAAATCCAAAATTGATTGCATTTATCATCAATTCATACCTACTAGAGTCAAAGCCCCTTATTACCAACCATCAAAAACAACCACACCATCAAGATCATATGAAACCAGAAAATTCCTCATAAAATTGAAAACTTCACCAAATCAAGTCAAATAAAGAAATAAATCACCAAATACTTCACTATCACTTCCAATAGGCACAATTTAAGCATCATTAAGTGTAAGGGAGTATGCAACCATCACTTACCTAAGAGACAAGAGATGTAGAGATGTTGGCCACCTTAAACCTTCAAATAAACTTCACTAAGACACTTAGTAGCACTAGAAGAAAGGATGTTATGGAGTAGAAATGGATGTAAGCAAATGTTTTTGGGTGATTTGCACCAAGTAGTAGCTAGAACTTGAAGAGTTTCTTCTTCCTTCCTTGCACAAGATGGCCGGCCAACAAGAGGTAAGAAATGGTAATTTTTTTGTGATTTTTGAAGATATTTAACCAATTTTGGTCCAAGGTCAAAATAGTGAATAGTAAATCTTAAAGTAAAACCAATGAGATAGTGACACTTGTCACCACCATAAATGTATTCCTATCCTTTCTTTTCTCTCTCACATCAATCAAATCTCACTCTCTACTTATCTCTTAACACCCGATAAATTTTGCACAGTATCCGAAACTTAACCTTATTGGCCGAATTTTTCTGAACTTTTCGCACTAGTGGGTCCCACGTCCGATATACGTTCTTAATTTCTCAAAATCTATTCGATACTAGAAAAATCATCTAAAAACTATATTTACTCGTAAAATAATCTAGAAAATTTTCCGGATACAGAAAGTGTAGAAAACAAGCCATTGAAAATAAGAAAGCCTAGAAAGATTATAAAACCTAACAAATGGAAAAGTTACGGGTTCTCACAAAAGCAGCCTTGAACTCTTGTAAAAGCTTGTAGCAATTAAGTAGAAATGATGATTTTGATGTTTTAAGAGGCTAATAAGGGTTAATGATGGTTTATATATCACTTTTGTGGGTTTGTAAGGAAGATTTGGTGATTTCTATGGTGGTTTGAGAAAATTCCAGCAAGTGATACAAATTTCCAGTTTTGATGCTTTAAATTTCTGTTATGATGGATTGTATGTGTTTATATTGGTTGGTTTGAGCTCAAAATGTGAAATTGGTAGCTCAAAATTGTTGGTTTGTGGTGAGTAGAAAACCGGTCAGCAAAGGGGTTGAAAAGCTAGGGTTTGGCCAATGCAACTTAGTGTTGATGATGTGTTATGGATTAAGGGGATGGTGTATGGTTCATTTGATGTGGTTGCATGACTCAAATTTGTATGGATTATGGTTGTGAAGATGCGGATAGCTTGTGGAGGTTACATGGTGGATCCAGCCAGCCACACTTCTTGGTTTCATAGGTTGTTCATGCTAAGTTAGGTGGTTGGTGCATCATGGTGCAATGGTGGTTGGAATTGTGGTGCATGTGTAGTTTTGTTGCAAAAGCTAAGTGTGGGTTGATGTAACCTAGCTTTAGGTAGTGTATGATAGCTACATTGATGGTATTGCATGTGTTTTGGTTGTTTATAAATGTGTTTGAAGTCACAAATGTGACTTAAGTTTGGTTAGGGCATTTTGGTGCCAAACCAGAAAATCCGGGCAGTGTGAAGCCCTGCTTTTGGCTCCATTTTTTGATATGAATCGTATCTAATCTGCTTTGGGTCAAAACATGAAAATTATAGCCCTATGTGAGAGCTTTCTAAAACGGAAAAAATCACCCCAAACGGATTTGTGTGCACCAAGTTATGGCGATTGAAAGTCAGACTATCGGACATTTTGTCCTCAGTTCTGACAAGGCAAATTCTGAGACTGTCATTTGCATTTTTGACCAAGCCAAAGTGTAAACTGGGTTAAACAGTCTTCATAAACCTTGAATTTCTTTGTCTTAACTTCGAAACGATATCTCGTACACCTTAAACCGATGACCACAACTTCTGTTATAATTAAAACCGTAAAAGGTGTCAAAACTGTGAAATGTCCGTCTGCGCCTTTGGGTGCGGACGCGCGACCATTCTCATTTTCGCGCATGCGCACGTGCATTTCTCAACCGTTTTTGCCATTCCGGCCGTTTCGGCCAATTTCGACATTCTTTTGGCCTTAACGTCGTTTTTGACCGTTTTTTATTATTTTTTACCGTTTTCGATCGTTTAAGTTATAAACTGCTATTGTATGGCCGTTTCACTTATGTGTGTATATAATCTGTCAATACAGACTGTGAGGCTTTTGACGGTGATGGTCAAACTCAGTGAATTGTATCATTTTTCGTGCCAAGCTTTATCAAGTGAGTAATTGGATTGTTTATTGATGTGAAATTATCAAAGTGCTTTGTATATGTTAAATGGGTACTTAGGCGAGGGTGTACTTTATCTCATTCATCCTAAGCCCATCCTTTGTTTTGATTTCATATGTGAGAATACATGCCTTATGTTGAGTATCACCCTTTTGCTGTGTGTTGATGGGGGTGATTACATGACTTGAGTTGAATCCCTTTTTGCTGTGTGCTATTGGGATAAGTACTTTGCTATGTACTTTGTTAAGAGATATCATCTATTGAGAGATTGGATATCCCAAGGGTTGGTTCCAGCCCGGTTCCAAGGGTAGACGAACTATTCGAGCTAGCCAGGGTTTGGTCGAAATTAGTTCCATGCTAACCTTGGGATTTCGTTCTTTGTTAAAGATTTGATTAAAGATAAGTGATTTTGTTTCGCTCGAGATGCTGTGTGTTGTTGACTGGCTAGCGGGGGTTGATAAGGTGAATGGGGAAAGTAAGTGGAGTCTACGGACCATGAGTACTTTGGTTGACGGAGTGTCAACAGGCGTTCAAGTTCGGGGAATTGGACTGGCTTTGGAGCCACCCGTATCCTACCATTGTGATGTTACCTTTCTGTTATTGATGTGAAAAATCCTGATTTACTTGTTTACTTGGATGTGAGTTTACATTTTTACCCCTGATTACTCACTAAGCATATAGCTTAACCCATTCTATTTGTTTTCCTTAGCAGGGGGCCGACGCAGGGATCGCTCGAGAAGGGGTTTAGACTTCTAGCTATAGAATAGTTGAATTTGTACTTGTTATAAGTTGACTAGTAAGATGTATATAGTTGTCGTGGTGGTTGTAGTTATCAGCTTTTCTAGGGTTTACCTTCTGGTACTCGTGGTATGTATGACTTGATGTACTAGTTAAGCAACTTTTGAAGCTGTAATAGAGTAAATAGAACTTTCTTTTGGCATGAAATCTATTTTCTCATTTTAAGTATTGAGTCCTGGCGCAAGCGAGGCAGGCGTCCCGCCGATACCCTCGGGTTCACCCTTGGGAGAAGTGGGGGCGTCACATCTTGAATCTCCACGTTCAAACCCTGGACAAACCGATGAATTCTCTTTCGGTCTGTCAGCACTAACTCTGGAGCAAAATGAGTGAGTTTGGTAAACTGCGTCTCGTACTCCGTCACACTCATAGTCCCTTGACGTAGTCATATGAACTCATCCTCTCGCCTTTCTTGAACAAGTGGCGATAAGTACTTCTCATTAAACTCACGATTGAAATTAACCCATGTCTAGGGGGGTCTGCTCTCTATCCCATTTGGCTCGGATCACATTCCACCAAGCACGAGCCGCCCCCTCAAACTGAAAAATGGCGAAAGCTATCTGTCATTCCTCCGGGTATCCTAATGCAGCGAAAAAATCTAACATTCGATCCAACCAACTCTCCGCTATATCAGGGTTAGGTCCACCCAAAATTTTGGCGGTAGAAACTTCTGGAACAGTTCTAAGGCACGGTCCTCTCCCTTATGATTTCCGGGATGTTGTACCTGGCCTTGACCCTGTTGGTTAACCATTTGTTCTAACAAATTAGCCAATCGCTGTATGGTCGTAGCTACTTGGGTCTCGGCTTGTCTATTCGCATTTTCAGTTGTTACCCCTTCGGTTCCTTGTCCTCGTCCTCTATCCCCACCTTGACCACGGGTCTCCATTTGATTGTTTTATAACTTCTATAATTGGAACAAATATGGTACGAGTTCAAAGCATTGAAAATTATAAAATACATGGAATAACCAAAATATCCAAATATAATACACTAAAATATAATACATTATCCAAATATATACACGCCAAAAATACACATATCAGTCCACATAGCAACTAACACCCAACCAGTGCAAAACAAGTTAGTTCATGAGCACTCCGGCTCCAAAAGAGTCAACAAAACAAGTCAGAGTAACGGCCCTAGCGGAAATCCCCTACAGAACCCATAGAGTCTATCGCATCCATCAGTCCCGCGCCACCAGTCCTAGGTGGCGCCTTTACAGCCACATCTAAGAGAATCTCACATTCTCGCATAATACCACGGGCTTTCTCTCTCATCTGCCCCTTTAAAGCGAAGAGGTGGCGGTGGGTCTCCTCAAGCTGACGACCAAGAGTATATGTCCGCTCTTCCTCAACTTGTAACCCCTCCTCGAGGTCACCCAGGCACACGGCCTGTCCATGGCTCACTCCTCTAGCCTAACGATGAATGAAAAGGGAAAACTCTTAATTCTATTTTTTATTCCAACCATTAGGGATGTAAATGAGTAGTACAGCTATTATAAGGTAATGGATTCGAAGTAAAGGGAATTTTAAGAAAAATATGTGGGATTTTACAACTCCATAGATTAAAATTAGGGTTTCGATTAAAATATGAGAGATTTAAGAAAAACCTGTTAGTCACAAGTAAAACTAGGGTTTTGAGTACAAGTAGGGTTTCTAGTCTTTAAACTAAAACAATGTCTTAAAACAAAAATAAAATAAAGAAACCGTAATATCCTCTTTGAGACTAAAAAAACATTATCCTAAAAGTTGGGGTATCACATCTGTAGCTAATCAGAACCAGGGACCCAGAGTTGAAGGAGAGGACCAGGTAGTTACAGCTATCAATCGTATGACTGATTTACTGGCCCGTTTGGTTGACCAGCAAGGTCAAGTACCTAGTAATTAGCAAAGGGACCCTGAGGTAGGTGAAGATAGGGCCCTGGAACGGTTCCAAAAGTTTGCTCCTCAAAAATTTCTTGGGGGACCCGATCCGGAAGTTACCGAGAACTAGTTTGAGCGAATGGAGGATATATTTGCCGCATTACATTACACTGAAGAGAGACAAGTAACTTTTGCCATTTTTTAGTTAGAAGGTGCGGTCCATTCCTGGTGGAACGTAGTAAGGGCAAAGTGGGATAGGGAGCAAACCCCACGTACTTGGTTAAACTTCACTAGGGAATTCAACGCGAAATTCCTTCCACCCTTAATCCAGGAGAAAAGAGAGGACGAGATTATCAAACTGCGCCAAGGCACTTCAAGTGTGGTTGAATATGAGACCCTGTTCACCCGACTCTCCAAATTTGCTCTGGAATTGGTAGTTAATGAGCAAAAGCACATAAGGCGGTTCATACAAGGTTTGAATGTGAAAATTCAAAAGGACTTAGCTGCTGCTCAAATCGATACCTTTAAGGATGCTCTTGACAAAGCTCAACGAGTGGAGCAGGCCCGACTTCAAGTTCGGACCTTTCAAGCCAAGAAACGTGGTGCATCTAGTAGTGCTCCTGGGCGAGGTGATCAAAATGTACCACCTTCTAAGTTTGGAAGAGATGTGGGTGGAGTCCGAATTGCTAGGACACCGAAAGGAGGAGCTCCATCTAGAGGGGCTCAAAGTGGAAAAGGACAAGGATAATATAGGACTATATCCCAAGGAGTTCCTACACCCACTCCTCGCGCAAGCTGTGGATATTGTGATAGGGCAAACCACACCGAGGACGCTTGCTGTCAAAAATTGAAGAAATGTCTCCGTTACGGAAGTTCCGAACATCAGATCGCCACTTGTCTTGTTAAGAACCTTGAAGGAAACGAGGCTGCACAGCCGGAGAAGTCAAACCCTAAGCAACCAACTGCTAGTGGGAGTAGACGAAAATCCTCGGCTAGGGTTTTTGCCTTGGACTATCAGCGAGCCCCTGAGTCCTCTGAGGTAGTAGAAGGTACGATACCTGTATTCCACAGCTTAGCTAAGCTTTTAATTGACCCTGGGGCAACCCATTCTTTTGTGAATCCTGTCTTTATGTGTGGTATTGGTAGTTGTCCTGTTAAGTTGTCCTATGACTTAGAAGTTAAAACACCTACTGGGGATCAAAGCCTAATTACCAATATGGTTTATAGAAATTGCGAGATTTGGGTAGGAGAATGGATGTTGGTGGGAGACTTGATAAGTCTAGACCTCAAGGGATATGACGTGATTATAGGCATGGATTGGTTCGCCCGTTATAATGTTCAGTTGAACTGTAAGACTAAAGTGGTGGAATTCTCGATACCCAGAGTGGCAACTCTAGAGTTGGATGTGATAGGTAGGTTAGCGTCATCTGCACTTGTTTCGGAAATTCGAGCTATAAAGTTATTGAGTAAAGGGGTGCAAGGTTACTTAGCTTTCTTAATTAATACCCCTGGAGATAAGGTGAAACTGGAAGATGTGTTAGTAGTGAATGAATTTCCTGATGTCTTCCCTGACGAGCTGAAGTCGATGCCACCAGAGAGAGAAATAGAATTTAAGATTGATTTGGTGCCTAGAACCACTCCGATTGCAAAAACACCATACCGAATGGCCCCTGTCGAACTTAAGGAATTGAAACTGCAGTTATAGGATCTGTTAGAGCGAGGGTTTATTCGAGAAAATGAGTCATCGTGGGGAGCGCCTGTGTTATTTTTTAAAAAGAAAGATGGTAGTTTGAGACTTTGTATAGATTATCGCGGCCTAAATGATGCCATGGTGAAAAATAAATATCCTTTGCCACACATTGAGGAGTTGTTTGACCAGCTGCAAGGAGCAGTGGTTTTGTCTAAGTTGGACTTGATGTAGACACCAAATTTTTTATTTTTTTAACTTTATTTGTTTAATTTATTTAATAGGTTTATTTGTTTCAATTCTAGGGTTTTTATTTTTATTTTATTTTATTATTTTTGAAATTTCATTATTTATTTATTTAAAAAAAAAGGGAAGGAAAAGGTTCAGACGCGCATGCTGAGCATATGCGTTATTCTTCTGCAACCGTGAACCAGACACGGTACCAGATGGGCAAGCTGGCATTTTGGTGAAGTTTTCTCACGGAATTTGTTTCCTTTTAAGCTAGTACAAGACACCTCATCTATTAAAAGATTGGATCAAGAAGCTTCTGGAAGGGGAAGCCATCGAACGGTTCCCAAATACCAGAAAAATACAGAAAAACCAGGACCATTGATGCTTGGTTCTGAGAATGTTGAATGCTGATAAGAAAGCCGTAAAACGCAAGGAAGCAAGTAGGGGGGGTCGAGTGACGGCTAGGTTTTGAGATAGAGAGAGAGTTGGGGGTTTTGAGACGGCTGGAGGGAGGAGAAAAAGGGTCGGCGGCTGAAACTGAGGAAGGAAAAAAAAGGCTGGGGAGCTAAGGGAGAAAACAATAGAAAGGAGTGAGAGGGCCGAGGAAGAAACCAAGAGGTTCTGGAAAGAGCTTGAGGGATTTCAGTCCAAGCCAGATCAAAGTAAAGAACCGCCAAGAATCGAAGGTCTCGGCGATGGGTTACTGATGCCGCTGCTGCCACCAGAATTTTCCACCACCACCTGCAAACCCTCACCGCAAAAAGCTTGAAAGAAAGCATTGTGAGCTACCCTTTCCCTTTAAATTCAAGTTTCCTTCTAAAAGTTTAGATCTTTGAAGCCTTCTAAGCATGGATTCCCTGAATCTGTTTCAAACGTCCGTTTTCGTTGCTTAATATCTCGTCACCTCTGTTTTATGTTCATCGGGAGTCTGTTCTTTTTGTTTGGTGAAAAACCTAGGAACTAAAAGCTATGTTTTGGAATCTGTATGGCCGAAAACTTGTGAACCAAAAGCTGTTAACTTTCGTGTGGTTTTTCCTGTCATGAACCGAATGCGTATCATTCGTGTGCGGTGAGCTGTGCTCTGAATAGTTTAGCAGTTTCATGGTTTGAGCTTAGTTGTATGTTCCACTAAATGGTAACGTTCATTGGCTGCGTGTATGTTGAGCTATAGCATGGCAGATTCATTACAGTAGCAGGATGTTCGCATTCGTTTTTGAGAAAAACTTCAGCCGTGGCTCTAAAGGAACTTTCGGCTGGGTTTATGTTCATCAGTTGCTTTCTTTGCTCTATTTTTAGTCAATTGCTGAATCAGTTAATGTGTTAAGGCCTCGTGGGAATACATTTCGGTTGAGTGAAAAATGGCATGAACGTATGTTTCGCTCCTTTCTTTGCTGCATTTCTGGTACAGTTGCTTTCGATTGAACCTCCTAGGATAGATGATCATGTTAACAACAATGAGATGAGGTCCTAGCACTTGTGTTTGCTTGTCCAACTAGTGAGTGAGTTTTGAGTTTCTCACATCTGAATGCACAAGGGCTGGAGTAGATAGAAAGCTGCGTTTGCTGTTGTGTATTGCTATTTTTCTTTCCTGTAACAATCCAGCCCATCAAGTGGGTCTCATCACCTGCTTGGTGAGAGAAATTGGATGAGTGGAGATGGGTTTGCATGTTTGGGGTTCAAAACATTTGAATCATGTTCAAATACTTTGCTGAAAAATGAACAACTAAATTGCCGAATCATTCTTGTATATTTTTCCAGAATCCCTGCATGATCTCTTTCTAAGTTTTGGTTTGTTTCGATGGTGGTGATTATGTAGCTGCTTAGCCTAAAGTTGTAGGGTTGGTTTTGAAAAGGTGTCTAATCAAAGTTGTAATTAAGCAACCTGCATTTGGAGACGGAAAGTGCGGCAAGCTCTTTGGGTTACGGCCACTTCATCCGTAGTCCTGCATGAAGTGTTTTCAATGTTTGCATAATTCCCTCCTATGTCTTTGCTTGTTTGGAGGTCAAATTTGTGTCTTGTTGTTTAGTTTAAAGCTTTTGGATCTTAGGTCAAGAAAACTTTGATTAAGGTATGAGATTGAATCTGAATCTGGTGTTAGAAAGTGAAGCAAAGTGCAGCAGTTTTTACTTTTCGGTTGTTGAAGTTCAATAGATTGGTTGCAGAAGCTTCTTGCCTTCTTTTGTTACATGAAACTTGCATGAAAGTATTCCAAGAATCCCATTGCTGTTAAGTTGTAGCCATGTTTGATTGGAGATGGATCAGAATGCTGCATGAATTTTGTTTACCGAAATTTGCTTGGAGTTGCGGAAGCTTGCGTATGATAACCATAGCAGAAATGGCCGAAAGAAATGGTTTCAGTTGTTTTGGCCGAAAAGCTGTGGACTGCATGCATGCAAATGTTTTCTAAAAGTTGCATTTTGGCCCCTCAAATCTCTCTTTGTTTCACCATGACCCAACTAATTGAATATTTTCATCAATTTGATCCTTCGCAGTTTTAATTCTACAACTTCATTGCTTGTTTGTTTCAATTAATTACTATGCTTTGTTTCAATTGCACTTAAGTCATGACTTTAGGGGCTTTATGACCAAGTGAGCTTGTGTTTGCCTATTTTCTTTAATTTTCTCAAATAAATTGGTACCTTGACCATTTCTTTTATTTTGGAGGATAAATAAGTGATTTCACTCCATTTAAGGCATCAACTCAAGGGAGGTATAACTTCTTTTATCTTTTTTGTCTCTCTCCTATGTGATCCGACGTGCTAAGTGAGAATTGCATGTCTACTTTGCTTTCCTTGTTTTTTCCTTAATTCCTTTCATTCATTTCATTTACTTTTGCTTTTATTAAGTTATTCTTTTATGGGGTATGTGTACACCTCTTGGCTTGTAATAGATAGGGCTTGGAGAGCATTTTTATTCAGTTTTCCCCTTCCCCATTTGTTTTAGTTAGCCAATGTAATAGGTTCATTAGCTTGATTGTTTGCTTTTGTTGCTACGTGTTAAATTGCTTTATTAGGCTCTTGCATTTAGTCGAGCATGCTAAGTGTTATGTGCTACGTGTTTATAAGTGATTGGCATGTCTACTTGCTTTCTATAGTCGTAGATGAATGTGATGGATGAATGCGTCACCGTGGCTAGTTCAACGCTGGCCATGGTCTTTTCCCTCGAGCTCTCGCAAGTCCAATGCTTGTGAAAGAATTCTAGAAAAGGGCTAGTCCAATGCTAGACCCAATAGGCCGTCCCCTTTCGTTAGTACATACTTGCATGTTTCACTACATTTCATACATTTTTTCTTAGTTTTCTAGCATTTGGCATGATCCTCCAACCCTTTCCCCTTCATTTTAGGTTTTTGCATCCTCATGCTAGTTATAGGGTACATTTTCTTGAGAGTCCCCTTTAGGTAAGGGAAACGAGCGAGTGTGGCTACAAAATAGCCTTAGCACGCTAGTTCTTCCTTCTAATCAAAGGGAAAATTAAAATCATGAAGATAGAAGTCATTCCCGTACCCGACTTGATGCATTCCTCTAGGATCATACACCTTCATTTTCTCAATTGGCACACATGCACTTTTCTTACATTTGCACACATGCACTTTTATTACATTTGCACACTTGCACTTACATTTGTATTTTTATTTTATTTTATTTTGCATTCCTCTTACATTTTCACACTTGCACTCATATTTGGGTCTTCATTTGCATTACCCGTGACCTCTATGAGAGTTTTCCTTATTGGCCATCACAACTCATGTGATTGGGACCAAAAAGCCTCATAAGAGACATCTTAGATTTAGGATTGCATTTTTTTTCATATCCATTAGTCACATCCAACATGCAACACATATTTTGGGTAGAAGAATTAAGAAAAGAAGGGCTAAGTCACGCAACTAGCTTTGGCTAGGGTAAGGGAGTGCCTTAGGCTTTGCCTTTGCCTTCTCCCTTATCAAATGTGACCCCCGATCCCTTTCTGTGGTTACGTAGACCTAAGAGTTCTTTAAAAAGGGTTTGTTTACTTTTCTTTCCAAAAAATCACTTTTTGGGTGACTTGGTACACCCTAACTCTATACCAAGTGGCGACTCCATTTTCCATTCAAAAAACCCTTTTTGAACTTTGTTTGGCCAAACCGTCGCATTTCACAATCCCACGGCCTTTTATTTTCATTTTCACACACGTTCACATACATATCCCACACACTACTTTCACATACTCAAAAAGTGGGGCGCGACAGTTGGCGACTCCACTGGGGACTTCCTAAGTGGGTCCAAGCATTTGATTTAGCTATTCTTTTCCTTTTTTCTACTCTTTTTATGCATAGCATTTGGATATTAGGATTGCATTTTTTCCTTTTTTAGGATTTTTGCATCTCGCGCGTATCAACTCACTTCCTCACACATTCGCCTACGATTGTTTGATGGATGGATGGTTTATTTATGTGATTCCGCGCTTTGCATTGCATTTGGGTGGGGGATATTACCCTAGAGCCTCGGGTTGGTTCTTGATCCCTCCCCTCCAAACGAGCACTAGCATACGTGCATACGCTTTAACTTTTCACCCCTCATTTATTTTTCTTTTAGTGGCTTGTCACGCCACTCCACCCTATTAGGATTTTAGGCGACTCACTTGGACTTGCGATCGCGACACGATGTGTGCGTAGCATGATCCGAGGAGTCACTCAATCTTCTATTTTAAGCTTTGGGTTCATAGCCTTTAGCTTTTAGTTGAAGGTTGAGGATTTTTTATAGATTCACTCATGACATGTAGCCGTGACACGATGTGTGCGTAGCAATGT